CACGTTTGGTGATTTCTTCGCCTCCAACCTTACCATACGGAGATACTCTTCACCTGTTGCGGGAGGTCTGCTGGGTCCGATTATCGGTTTTCGGGAGACGGGGAGTACGGGTTGCAATAATTCATCTTCAGCATCGCTAAGATCATCGACCATTCTCTCGCGATTGAGACCACCATATTCTAATGTTTCGTCGTCCGGTTGCACTTTGTGTGGAGGTGGAGAAGGGAACGACATCTTTAAAGTGTAACAGAAATTTTTAATTTTTGTCTATATTAGGCCATGTGACAAGACCGGGATGTCCAACCAATGAAATTCAAAAATCTCGACACCTTCTCTAAAAAAGGAAATGATCTTGTTCCACGATGTTTTGGATGTAATTAATCTTTTCGAACAAAAACCTTAAAGGTTCTCATGTCGTACAAAGGGTTTGCATTTGCATGTGAAGTCTTGAAACTGGAGTCTCGCGTGTGCACGTTCCCATCTACATAGAATATTTAACGCATAAAAATTTAAGCTGACGAGTTAATCACAACGACTACAAGGCGAGATGGTGTGTGTTGGTGTAAGGTGAGGGATATTCCGATTAATAATGTAAATTACTCAGCGGTTTGAGGAAAATAATGTGAATACACAGCGGTTGGAGAAAAAGACCATCCAGACAAGAAGGAACCAAAAAAAAGGAATTGACGATATTACCGTAAATTTCATTGTTTCGAGATTACGAGAAATTTAAAGTTTTTTTTTTTATAAAAAAAAAAAAAAAAAAGAAAAAAAAAATTGCAAATCTCGATATCACTGCGACCAGACCAGCTCAATAAGATAGAGTTCCAGAAAATGATGGGTTAAAATGTGTGATGAAGAGAGTCCTGCGTTCTTTGTACATCCCTAAGAGATTTTCACCCCTGACGTTTTGGCGGTTATATCCATGGGACTTTGTTGTATCATATGATAACGTGCGACGGTCATACACATGTCCACAAAGGAAATCAACAAACAAATAACATATTTTTTACTGGGGGTTACTTATCACAAGGGTTCTTTTTTCGCATATCGTCACAATATTAAAATAAAATTCCACATGGCAAATTGCAAAATTACGCATTTGACGTGTGAACCCTCGTCTATTTGATAAAATTTTAAGCTGGCAGGTTCCACGAACTTCAAACAGAACAAAAACAAGGGTGATTTTCATCAACCAATGACACCGTCAAAACAATATTAATGATTCTTTGTTGATTTTTACCTTTGTTCTCGCAATTTCCCGGAAGCCGGTGAATTGAGTCTCTAACGTGGATCATTGATATCATGTATTGTACATCTCTACTAATTTAACATCATGCAAACCTTTTGAATTTCCAGCAATTCGTTTCAGCTCAACTGGCATACACATGGAAAGAACGCTCGAGATTTTCAGGAAAAACGAAAAGTCGATAAATCCTTTTTTTTTTACCAAAATCCAGATAGGCAAGGTTAGGCGATCGCAAGTAGTGAAGTCGGGTGCAACGATTATCTAATCGGTCTGTCTTTTGCGAGGTCCTCCACCTCAAGATAAAAAAAAAATCGCTAGCTGGTTTTACACACGAAACAAGTAAGAAAATTGAGTGTGTCGGTTTTCCTTCCAGTCCCGTATTGTTGGAAAAAAAAATTCCTTCTATATCAACTTTAATGAACAATCATTACGAACAGACTACTTGATATTGTCGGTTGAACGGTTATTCGTGTGTGACATGAGCAGATATGGTGTTTACGCTGATCGATCACGCGTGATCCGGCTAAAAATAATGCACGATGAAACTGTGTAAATTCGACGTGACACGCTTTTCCCAAAGAAATAACTCGTTCCCCAAATTTTTATTTTTGGGATCGTTCGTGTCACCAAGCTTTCTTTGCGAGAATAGTATCGTTTCAAAAAATTTTCCTTGTTTTCAAAATTCCAAATTACCTTTGTGTTAGCTTTTTTTTAATCTTGGGTCTGTATGTTTCATAGAGCACCCTGGAGTAAATGCAACTGGATGATCTAATAACGTTTTTTTTTACAATGACCGCATAAAAAAAGAAATTTGATTCAAAAATTTTTGTATAAAAAGCGAGGGATTTTTTTTGCTTGCATATCCGCCAGAGATCAGATTACGAAGAAAAAAAAAAAAAATCAATAAATATTAATCATAAAGTAAGAATGCCCAAAGACACTCACGGCAAGAGAAAAAATGGAGAGAAAAATGTCATCCCGCGAAAAGGGAGAAATGTCCACCTGTTCGAAACTCCTCAGTTCAAGGAAGACCTGAAACGTTCCATCGACAAGAATTTCAAAAAGACCTATCCTCAAGGAATGAAAATCGAAACATCACTTCCTCTCGATCAACTTTTGGCTCCGTGTAAAAAAACTCGTGGGAAGAAGGGAAGAATCACCCGACCGCAAAATGCCTTCATCCTATATCGCAAGGACAATCAAGCCAAGATCAAGGAGGACAATCCAGACGCGAAATTCGAACAGGTGTCCAAGATAGTTGGTGACCTCTGGAAGAATGAAAGTAACCAACGAAAGAACAATTACATTCTACTATCAAATCTCTGCAATCTCGTGCATCAAGATCTCTTTCCGAATTACAAGTTCAAACCGAAGTCGAAGGAGAACAGTGAGCAAGTGACGAGCGCCACCGAGACCGATGAAGAGGCAGAGGGGGCAGAAGGAGAGGGAAATGCGCAATCAGAATCGCACGACAATGACTCTCGAGTTCCTTTCGAAGTCGGCTGTTCGGATGCCACGCAAGGTGTCGTCGATTTTCCAGGATCAAACCAATTATTCGCATCCTGCCCTGTCCCCGGAATGCCGATTGTGTACGATAATTCCATAACACTAACTTCACCCGAAGACATCTCGATTATCTATACCGAAGAGAATCCCATTTCCGATAACTTGTCGACACTGTATTCGCAACTTGAACTGGACAATTTTTCGTTGCAACCAGACTTTTTCGTGACCCCTCAGCCGTACGCCCGCAGTGAGGGTTCAGAAGCTGACGCAAACCTGCTTTACCTGCAGGACTATGAGGACTTTCAAATTCCTACTTTCCCGATAGTTGACAATACCACGAACGCCGATTCTCTGTTGTTTTCGTACAACACCTCGGGGTCCATCAACGATACGACCCAAAATTTTCAACCTTCCTACGACATAAATTTTCTCAATTCATACAGAGACGAGCAAATTATGCGATTCTTCCCGAACACACAGGACTCTCAAAATTAATTATCAGGTGTTCACACACGCATTAACATCACCATCATTACTATATCATATATCATTATTCATTTCACTTCATTTCATTACATTTTTTTTTTTCTCTTGAGATGTACATAGAAAATTATTTATATAGGCGCAAATTTTACTCATCACAAATCATTATTTTGGATTCAAGACGAATTCAATGCTGTATAGAAAAAAAAAGGATTCTGAATCAGTGCACGCGCCAAAAAATCGTATTGCATAATGGGATCAGTTGTTTTCTTTTTTAGAAAAAAAGATTTTTAGAAAAAAGGAAAAAAAAGCAAAAAAACAAAAAAAAAAAACAAAAAAAAACAAACGAACATTTTAGATACTCACAAACAAGACAAGCATCATTTTAGATATCAAAGCAAGCAACCAATCAATCAATCATTCATTCATTATCAACTTTTCTTCAAAACCAAAAAAACATGTATAAGTTAAATAATCAATAAATTAACATACCGTCTAAGCATTCTATGTATCATATTGTTACGTAGTTAACTTTGACGAGTGATAAATTGTATATTATTACACACATATACACATACATACAGTACATACATACAAACATACAAACAGATGAGTTGTAACTTTGTACTTTGCACGCAATTCACTTGGGGGAGTTTCAGTTCAACAAGTGAGGAGTGCAAACGACATTCGCATGGAAATGCATTGTACCGAGTCGTTGTCCACTCGTCACCAAAGAGCGAACCCGAAAATTATTTGTTTGGTTCTTGTGTAT